GCCGGTGCCGCGGCGCCCTCGGGCCCGGCTCCCATCCCGCCGTTATCATTAGGGCTGGATTTGATTAGCGCCGGGGCCGGCGTTTCCTGGGGCTTCCCCTGCGCCCTCCCATGCAAATGGTCGGCAGGGGTGGCCACGGGCTCAGGCCCTGCCGGGGGGCATTGGGGACCACAGGAGACTCCTGGATCTGCTCCATGATGCCCATCGGGAACGCCGGGAATGCCGGGAGCACCGGGAACATCGTCCATAGTGGATTGTGCTCCCACTCGCTCCCCATCGTCCCGGTCCCTGGAAGGCGCTTGCGGCTCCTCTGTGGCAGCCCAAGGCCACGGAGCCGGTGGCAACCGCGGCCGGGCTCCAGCAGCTGGCAGCAAAGGAAGCAGGAATAATGCGGGAAGAGAGAGGGGAACGGTTACCTTTGCTCTCAGGAGTCCGGCTCTGCGCTTGCTTGCGCCTCTCCCCCTGCAAATGCAAACGGGGGGTCCGTAACCCCCAACGCAGCATCCCTGTGACCCCCAAGGCCACCTCCCTGCCCTGCCGGGGCCACCCGCTCCCCCCGGCCGCTGCTCCCGGCCCGGCGCACACCGGGATCCCGCGGGATCCCCGGTTCCTGCCGCTCCGTCCCCGCTGCCGCGCGAGCCCGGCGGGACGCGGCCGTGACTCAGCTCGCGGGACATCTGCAGCCGCCGCGGCCGGGACGGGAAGGAAGAAGCGGCACCTTGCAGTTTCTATAAACCGCGCGGGGGGAGAAGGGGGTATTTTTATCCTGTTGAATTTAAAAACCACCCCAGATTTCCCGCCCGGAGCCGAGCTCCCTCGCTGCGCCCGCTGCGATGGGTGGGTGATCCCTGCGGGTGCGCGCAGGCTCCGGAGGTTTCTGGGGAAAACGCACGAGGGAATCGAGCCCCCAGCCCGGCCTGTGGAGGTTTGCAGGGAAAATCAGGCCCCAAGCGGGAAGGGAGGAGCTCAGGGAGGTCGGAGCCTCCTCGGGTATCCCGGCTCGGACCATTCGGATTCAGCTCCTGTGTCCAGGCCACCCCATCCCGTTTCGGTGCCCCTGGCTCGGCTCCCCCCATGCTCTCTGCCCCGGCGGCTGGTCCCCACGGTGCCTCCCTCCTCATCCTCCCGCATCCCTCAGCATCCCTGGAGCATCCTCCCTCTCC